GAGAGAGAGAGAGTTATGGCTTGGCTTTAGGACTGATCGATAACTCAACTAGGTAGAAATGTGAAACAGTTGGCATGAGGGCGAAGTGATAGGAATGGATGGGATACCAGACCCGAGAGCCATGTGCTTGCCCTTAATTATTGTCATGTCTACGTCTACCAGAGAACAGGCAGAATCCCGGGCTTGCAGGCATCCTTCTAATTACATGTGGTAGGTGTAGACTGAACTCACTCCACAGGTGCGGCGGCCATGATTTGGTGCTCTCTCTCTCTCTCTCTCTCTCTAGTTGAACGTAATTGACATTAGATTCTGTCGTGCAGGAAAGCAAGTGTCGTTTCAACATGGACGTAGGGGGTGACCATTCCTTCTGGTTTCATAATCGTAATTTTTTTATTTGGCAACTCTCAGTTCCTCTTCCATCAAATTTGAAATCAGAATCAAATCGATTTCGAAGGTTTAGTTTTGGTTTTGATTCGGTCCACTGATTTCATCCATAAAAAAATAAAATAATTTACTAAAATTCGATAAAAAAAATTAAATTACTTTGCTAAAATTAAAACTCGGGTAAATAGACTTTTAACTCTACGATATTAACCATTATACTATGAAATATATTTTTATTTTTTTGGTATTTAATTAGTTTGAACTGTTGGCTCCTAAAATTGAAACCGTATGATCTCGATTCCGAATCCAAGCAGTTGACGAGATTCGATTCTGATTCCTAGCTGATTCAATTATAATTTAAATTTAAATTGAACTATCATCACGACCTAACTATTCAATTATGAAGCGAACTTGATGCAGTCGATATAGGACACGGAATGAGTGGGTTCAAATAGAAAGCCAGATGTGGTTTGAAATGAACCGTGGAAGCACCCTCTCTCATCTTCTCCCATCATGGTGTACCCTTTTGGCGGTGGGTGGGTGCAACCAGTCATCACCAATGAGGATCTCGAGTTCTGCGGCGAAAGCACACACCTGCCTTTTGTGGTTCACACATCACCCATCCAACAACCCACGTGCAATTAATTGCAAAGACGAAGTCAGTGACCCAACTCAAATCAGATTCTCCATCTAATATAATTCAGATACTGTTTGACTTTGACAATATTCTTGAACAATATCCAATAAAGCACGCACCCCACACCGATAATATATAACCACGCAGAGTTCAAATATCCATCATGGAATGAACAAACCACTGTTCATCGATCAATTCCATACTCGACACAGCTACCTTCGATCCCAATTTGCAATGGCAAGATCCACTGACCTAAAATCCATACACTCGAAAGGTACCTTTCATCCCGATTTGCGATCCACTGACCTAAAAGAAGGAGCCTTCGGGAGGCTGGACCAATTTCCGGTTCTGTGATACCGCCATTTCTTTCTTAAGCTGTGTCAAGATGTACTCCATCGTGTAATCACGTTGCCAGTTGCCCAGAACCGGAAATTTCCTTGGATCTACCTGCATTTATCGGGTCAAACATCAGTTTCCAAACAAAAGTAGTTCCACAAGGCACATGTATCTTTGAACCATATAGAATTACCAATCCTGTGTCAGGATTGACACAAGTCATGTTAACGCGTGAATGGAACCGAACGCTAGGTGGTTTATCGGGATAGTCCTTGTCGCAGAACAGCTTCAACTGATAGATCCGACCCTCATGGACGGTCTGTAAGAGAATAGCAGCACAAGTGATGAAACTAGTTCAAATGGATCAAGCTATTAATGTTGAAACTGGAGTCTCTCACATTATGAGGACCGATTATTGTTCCAGTCCAGGAGCGCATGTAAATGTCATCTCCGTCATCCATGCCATAGCTTACGGTCCCATCTCCTATGCCCTTTTCTCCTCGTTCAAGCTCTTCGAGCAACCTGAAGTTCCGAGGAACTGCAAGCAAAGTGAATGAAGATAGAGCTAACATATTGACTCAAAATGAAAAAAAAAGTTTATGATGAAATGCAATATTGTAAAGTTATTAACACTGCCATGAATCTCCAATCACACATCCTAACACTGTTGAATTTACAAGGAATGATGCAAGCACCAAAAAAGAATAACTGAGAGAATGATAGATTGACATAAATAACAAAATAAATTATGTAAGAAGAGAAAACAAAACTTCCAAGCTAAACTATTAGAAATTCATTCTGAATGTGCAAGGATTTAATAATCAATAAAACCAATCTGATCCTAGTTTTCTTCCTATACATAATTCTGCTATACCAACCACATTGACAATATGTTGGGTAGATTTGGTCAAACTCTTCAGTCATCACTCTGGCCCAACGAGGCTTAATCGATGTTCGTCTTCGCCCGAACCCACCTAATGGTCATACAGCTGAGACACATCCTAAATGACGTAACAGGAAGAACACAAGAGAGACAAAATAAGAAACCAAGGTGAAAGGGCTGAAAAATTCTATCAATGCCAATGAACCACACAGCAAGTTGAAGAGTCTAGTGAGTGTTGAAATTTGCTCCGCTTGATGACCTTGGTAGCTGGCATGGTAAGAGATCAATATGTCACACTGGAGCTGTCCAGATGGGAGAGTAAGGTGAAAAAGAGGAGAGACAAAGTAGAAAAGAATAAAGGAAACAAGAAGAAAAAAGAGGGATAGAGGGAAGTAGAGATAAGGTGAGAACTTAAGATTTCATAACGGGTGAATAAAGCATCAAAATTTAAGAGCCTAAACCTACATCATAGTTCGTGAGGTAGTATTTCAGGTTGAGCAATTCAATCATTACTCCTTGATGCTAATGCCCCAATAACACATTTAAAAATATGTTCAACTCCAGTACCTTTTGTCATCAGGCCTGGTCTTCAAGGAATTGATACTAAAAGAAAAAGTGATATAGTACATCACTATACGGATTTGAATTGCTATAAATGGTCATGATTATGATAAAGTATTTTTGTATCTTGCAAAACTATAAATAAGACATGAAACTCTAAGAGGTCCCTACAGCATTAGGATCTTCCATGAGAACTTGTAGTAAACATAAAATATTTGAATTTTGAATCTTCCATGAGATTAAACCAACACTGATGAAACTGATTAGCACCTTCTCAATTCCACTAGCTTTCGATAAAATTGAATAACTACTACTGAAAAACATCGATTTAACATAAAAACCTTATTATAGACTTGTTTTAAACTTTCACAAGTTTGGTCACAGATGAATACCTATCATAGAAAAAGGTTTACTATCTGAAACATTATTCTGAAATTTAACTAGTGTGTATCATATGCTAGAGAGGTAATCTGCACAATAACTATGGGAAGCATAAGCTTCTTAACTAATCTTCGAAACTTCTAAAGTCAAAACATGAACATTCTAGGCAATTTTATCGAGTAGTAAGATAACTTGCAGCATGTACAAATGACAATAAATTTTATGCAATAAACAAAGTAATTGGTAATTTAACATAGATCTCTCTTTTCTTGGGATGACACATGACATATCCATTAAAAAAAAGCTTTTAGAAAAAAATGACTACATTCTCCAAAGTTTTAGTCAAAACAAATAATTACCCTTCCTAACACATTAATGCTGACAACTATTTTACCATGGTACAAAAACCTTAGGTATAACATGAAAAAGTAGATTGGTTCAGTTTCTTATTTCATTCTATGAAAAAGAGAATCAGATAGCTCACAGAGACAGTTGGTCTTACACCAAATTACACAAGCCCAAACGAATGGATCATGGAAAATAAGTTTGGAACTTTTACCTTAACAATCCTCTCCGGAATTCATAACCACTCTATGGTAAGAAAAGATGGATACAAACATGGAAGAAGAATATGACAGGTTTGAGACCTTCCATCACTGTTATTGATCTCATATCTAAGCTAAATCCATTTGTGGTAATGTTATTACCACTAATCCTATTTTTCCTAGTGCTTTCAACTTGTGGTCATGATATTCAATAGATGTTGTCAAAGTATGGCCTGATAGAAAGTATTATAATTAATCCTCAATACCTCTCAGTAACAACAAAAAATCAAACTACTTTCCATTAGCTAAGGGACGATCCAAAACTACTTTTTATATTCCTCTAGAGAAGGCAATGATATTAAGGCCACCAAGGAAAAATGTTTGATAAGAATCATGAAGGAACTCTGACATCTATAGTTGCACATACAAAAGTTATGATCCTCTCTATCGGTGACCAAGACCATACGATACAATAAATTATTTGTTCTTCTTTAACAATTCTTAGCGATCTTATAGTTGCTTTTACAAATCTATAAAAGTTAGGTAAAGAAAGACAAGAACGTCTCTCGGTGGAACGAGTATCCACAGATCATCAGAGAAGTTGCAGCCTATTGCATATCCACGTCGCAGGGCCAAAATCCCGGAAAGTCTATCAAAAGAAACACATGATAGATGGGTTATGCCCTAGAAGATTGAAATGAGGTACATCCACCGGTTCCTCGTTCCCTCTGACTGACATACAAAGTGTCAATTTGGGATCTTTTCAACACCATCAACAGAAGGAACGATCATGACGTTTCTTTCATCTAAGACAAACTCTTGTGATCTGATTGAAGAAACCCCCTCATGAGAAAGGAGCCACGAAGCACTCGCGCATGGATCGATAAGAAACCCTAATCATCCATGTTAGAAGAAAAGACAGGAAAACATGACGAGAAAAGGATTCTCACCGACGACGCTGGATCCACCGGAGCCACCGAGCGTCATTGATGAGAACTTCTACGCTGGATGATTTCCCTCGAGCTTCGTCGTCTCCCCGCGACCACGGGTGACGGCAGGCGAAGAAGATATATGGCCACGAATGGAATGGGGCGTTCCGTGTGGATTCTGTGCGTATAGCAACATCGTAAAAGTATATTATTTCTATACATATACCCATTAAATTATGTTAGATGGCATTATTTTAGCGTACCCCCTCAAATATTTTTATTTATATCAAATGCTAAAAAAAATGACTAAGGGAGGAAAGGAGACATGAATTAGGCAATATGTGCACGACGATATAGACGATCAAGAGAGGATGATCGATTGGATGAAAAGGGGTGATTCACGAGATGAAAGACGATGACCGATAAAGGTAGAATGATTATTTAAAAAAATATTATTTTAAACTTTCTTAATATTATACGAGAAATTTCTAAACTTAGGAATTTATTCTCGAAATTTACCTAATTTATGTTTAAGATTATGTGAGAAAATACTTTTTAATTTCACTTATTATGAAAAAAATCAAAACCTTCTTAATTTTCATAGGAAACTACTTAAACTCTTATATAAATTATTTTATAGAATATTAAAATATATAATAGGATTGATAATCAAGTTTGATGATGACTTAAAATAATTAAGATTTGGTTATGTTACAACGTTTTGGTATAATAAAAAAAGTATTATAGTCGGATAATATTCATCTTTAATTATTATTATCTTTTATGATAATATAAAAATATTATAAGGTTTCTCAAAATAGATATGTCTGAATTTAAGTATTTGTGATAAAATGATGACACATTATATTTTGTTATAATATATATCAAAATAATCCTTATTTTGATTCATAATTATTCAAAAAATAAAAAAAATATTTTATAAAAATATCAAAACTTATGGTAAGTTTATTAATAAATGTTGATTCAGATTTAAATTAGATTTTAATTATAGAAAAAATATTCATCTCAATAAGGGCTTGATGCGTGATAGCCCAATCAACACAAGGAGGATACGAGACGATGCTAAAAAAATATTTTGTGTATACTTAGAATATTTTTTAGGATAAATTTACTAAAAAGGTCTATCAGATCACAATAACCGAGGTAAGTGAATGTTTACTTAAAAATATTCATGTTTTGTGCTTAATTAGAACGTCGAAGAGATCATATTGAGAACCTCACTCAATCTTAATTGTTGTATAGGTTAACCAACAAATAGGCAACTAAGCCTCTTTTTTAACCATATTAGATTTATTGTACACATGAGTTTTAATTGAGTCATATTGATTTAGTCATCACTGATACTTCCCACATCATCACCTACAAGTTATCCCATTTCGATTGAAGGGACTCACCTACCAAGGGATCCAACAAGTCGGATATCCTCAACATAGTGAAGGGCATCATCCTACTTTTGTATAGTTCGTAAATAAACTAGTATCTTGACCTTTTATTGGCCATCGTCATTCTAACTCTTCGAGGGGCTCTATTATAGGGACCTTCCCAACACTAGTAATCCGTGGTGGCATAATCACTCTTAAATGAGTAGGCTATCTTAAAATTACTAATATGATAGTGATGATCGAATGTGAGGCAATGATTGTAGCGACTACGGAGCTCACAATCAAGAAGGAGGTCGCACCCCTCTTCATCATTGCAAAAAAATCAAAACTTAAAAGAAGGAAATGAGTTTGTATCATGCCCCAAGAGCCCAAACTTAGATCAGTATTGATCAACTAGTTTTTGTCCATCCTTTTTATGCCCAAAGAAGTCCACTAACTCCTGACTAGTCCTAATGAAAAAGAACTACCTCTTCTAACCTTTGTTGGAACTTGGGTTGGGAGGGGGGGGTGTGTTCCGAGTGGAACGATATTAGTCATTGGCCCTTTTGCACACTCGGAAGTAGGACTAAAATCAATCATAAGTTGAGATAACATCAACATGATAGCATTCCTCGACGAAGACACTAAATAGAATAATGAGTTGGGTGACATTTGAGAAGACGAAATCCTCCACCATTGAAGGCATATCATGATGAGTAGATAGAGGGAAAATCAATGCCTAACTTCATGACTTGACCATGGACTATCTGAGGATAAGACTTTAGTTTTCTCAACCATTAGTCAGCTAACGGATTGAGATTGAGATGAGAGAAAAGAGGATATTTTTGCTAGTCATGTGTGTCGTACAAGCTAATCATGTGAGTGATGGCATGTGTGACTTGATATGTAGTCTTTTTGCTTATTATATTTTGATATTTTATCACTATATATATATATATATATATATATATATATATATATATATATATTATAATGTCATTGGATCTGTGTAATAGGAATCAGATCATGATGAGATCATGATAATGAGACCGATGCACCTTTAAACATAGATCCTAAATAATTCCGATCATAGGTTACTCGAGAGGGACATCGAGATAACCAGATAGACTGATGTGTTGTATACCTGTCTATATGATGGATGCAGTTGGTTTCATAGTTGCTTGTGTGGGGACACTATGGATACAATATATGTGCTCATCGGGGAATGAGTTCACTGATTGATCCACTTACGAAATGCTGGATGG